ACAAGAAACAGTGGCAAGGAGCCCAGGCGGAACCCAAACAAAAACAGGACAGAGCACACAACAGAGCACCGACAGGCTTATCACTAAAATGATAAATAATTTGTAACTGACAAGGAACTCAAAGAAAACAAATAACTCATTTGAAAGTTACCTTGATATCTCATATTTCTTTGGGGTTATCTTTATCTGCCTGTTCTCATGAAATGAACCTTTACCTGAAGGACACAGTGTTGGAAATGCCAATGTCTCCCAATGATCCTGAAAAACACTGGGATCTGACCTTCACCTGAAGCTAGATTCAGTATTTCATTGCCAGGCACAGGTGGTCCGAATTCTGGATACAAAAATGTTGTAGAGACCAGTGTTTGCTTAAAACTTAGATCTTCAACGATGTCTTATGGATTGTCATTGTCTACCTCATCTTCAGAGTCTATATAATTTCACCTTAATTTTCATTTGTATTTGTTTGAGCATCTGACGTTCGTCTTGTTTCAACCTCATCCCGAATGTTTTCATTTGAATAACTATATCTGAAATGTAAGTGGTTTGTAAAACAGTATTCCAAAACATTTCATCATTGCATTTACTTTCGCAAGTCCAATTTTCATTTAGAGGTACAGTTGAATACGGTGAGTTGTTTTTTTGTCAAAAAAAATGGATTGCATTATTTACATTATGTTGACGAATGTACTGCGTGACTGGCCGATACTTGTCTGAAAGTCGCCTCTTCAATGATAGTGCAACAATTTCTGTTTCACCAGTCTGACGTTGGAGTGCTGTAGCAGTTTTTTTTATTATTGGATGGTACATACCCTTTGAAGCCATGTTGAGAGCATGCTGGAAGTTAAGGTATTTTCATTATTGGTATTATCTTGCTAATAAGTTGTTTCTATAGACTGTGCAGATCTTTCAGTTGATGTGGTACTGGTTCAATATTTGAGTAATTTGAGACAGCGTGACATGGCAATTTACTTTTCTGAATAATTGCCGAACAAGATTTACAAGATTTCTTTATCCTTTTAAACTTCGGTGATTCTTGTTATTCATAATCCACAATCCATTTTTAGTAGGTTTAGGGGGTTTCTCGTCCTCATCACTATTGTCCAAACTCTTCAATAATGAGTGTCATGAGTTAACACCAACACCGACGTTGAGTCAAAGTATGGATTAAGTGGTATTTTACCTTCACTAACAGAAATGTCATTTATAAAGTCCTCCAAACTTAAATAACTATCCGTATCACTGACCTCATAGCCAAAATATAACAGCTTTTCTCAGTTGGTAGAGGTGTTTTGGAAAATATCATCATTGTTACTTGGAATTCCCGTCACATTTATTGAATGCAATGGTTGTTTTCTTGGTTAGAACTGTTAGTTTTGTTGTTTACGGATTGTTTCAGAACAGCAGCAGACAATCTTGTGATCTCTACGGTACCAACAGTGGCATAAATATTTCTTATCATCAAGTTTTATGCAGATAGATTATCAGTATGTTCATTAAAGATGTAAACTATTGTTCAGTTTAGCAAAACACACCCATGACATTTTTTAAACGTAAATGTTAACATCAACCAGAATAACTAAAGGCTTATGATGTACCAAGCATGGAAATAGTTTCTCTGTCAGCACAGTGAGAAAAGCAGAATAAGACATTTTTGTTGATTTATACAATACCACAACGTGAATTCATATTAATTTTTTCAACATTCAGAAGAAAAACTCAAACTTCTAGCTGTAGATTTTAAGACACCATCTTTGACAAACAAGTAACCAATGTTGATGTATTTCATATGTTAATGTAGCTCACTTGCCATTACATTGCGTATTTAATGGCATCTTTGTATCTGATAAGAAGAATTATTATCGTTTTCATATAATCTAGTTTCTGCCGATCCAATATTATCACAAGACAACAATCCCTGTTTGTTTTAGGAAGGCACCTGTCTATGAGAAGCAGAATGTTTTATTTTTGATCAAGTCGTATTGTACACTCTAGGGATGATCGAAGATCAGAGTATTTGTAGAGTACAAGTATACAGAAAAAATATATTTTCATCATAAATTTGTACTGATACTTACAAGTTATTATTAATACATTAATTGTATCAGATCTCATATAATATTTCTAGTTCTAAAAGATCCTGTATGTTGTGATCAAAGCGGTTTACCACACTAAGTGAAATTATATATATGTACATAATTATGCAAATAAAACATTTTTCAAACATTAGAGATTATGTAAAATATGTTCTGCAAATATTTGCGAATATTATATGTAATCATTAAAATATATGCATTCATTTCTTATTGTAAAATTTAAATTAAACTGTATAGAAAATATTTTTTAATACCTCCCTTTATTTAAATGAAATGTTTAATTCTGTAATATCTTTATAAATAATGCTTTTTGGAACCTACAATGTTGATCAATCTTAATTAGAGCATCAAATTTATTATTAAAAACCATAAAAATTGTGTTACAGGATCTTTAAAAATTGATAAAAATGCATGTTTATACCTTCTTTCACGGCGTCTCAACGCCGTGATATTGTGATGGGTAGTTTTCGGTAGCATGGGCAAAAGTTACGTGACAAAATGCCTTTCGATTTCTACAGCCGACATTTTTTAGAATCTACGCAATCATTGTACGGCCCATTTCCGTGAAAAGTTACATAGAAACAGGTTTTATTCAAAACCATATAGAATCTAAACAGTATTTCTATCAACACACGAAATATCAGCGTTTTATATTAACACATTTCCGGACATCCTTTCGACATGCTTGAGAAATTCGCCTTGAATGGATTATGTATGGTGGCTGATATACGCCATCCGTATATTTTCGCGTCTTCGCCTCAAAATGCGAAAATGCGAAAACACGAAGGGACGACATATTTGGACTTATGTGTTCTCATGTCGGATCTATGTCTCTCTCGGAGTGAATCTTTTCACGTGTAAAATGTCTTTGAACATTACATTCCTAAGTTTCTATATTTGCAATTAAGAACTTAAATTGTCTTTTTTTGAATAATTTCATTTTTCTTGCGCAATTCTCTAAAATGAGACTTGGTTTTTCTATATGCGTTTCACAATAAACATTCACCATACCAGGTTGTAAAATAACTTAATTTGGTCCATAAATCAGTTTTTACCACAACATCAAACTTTATTTAGAATTCATGTATCGTTATTGTGAGCAAAATTCTGAGTTTCCTTTAGATATGAGCAAGAAAATGCTTTATTACCCCCGCCGAAAAGACGGTGAGGGATATAGAATTAGTCTCCATCCGTCCGTCAGTCCTTCCGTCCGTCTACATTTTTGTCCGGAGCATATCTCAAAGAGTATCAATTTGAAACTTCATAGGTGGAGGTATCAACTTGAAACTTCATTGGTGGATAAATCATATTTAGGAAAAGTGCAGTGCACAAGAATGATAACTCTACCCTGCATATTTTTTCATTATTGCCCTTTGTTATTCTTCAAACTCAATTTTGTCCAGAGCATAACTCAAAAAGCCTTTGAGATATCAACGTGAAACTTCATAGGTGGATAGATCTCACTCAGGAGGTGTGCAATGCACAAGAGTGATAACTTTACCATTCCTAAATTTTGAGTTATTGCCCTTTGTTAAAATTTCATACTTAATTTTTCACCTGAGTGGAGCATAAATTAACTAAAAAAAACAAATCTTCATAGGTAGATAGATCTTTTTGAGGATGAATGTTGTGCGAAAGAATGATAACTCTATCCTTTATAGTTTTTGAATTTTGAGTTATTGTCATTTGTTATTTTCATACTTTTTGTCCGGAGAATATCTAAAAAAGTGTTAGAAGTAACAACTTGAAACTTAATAGGTGGATAGCTCTTTTTGATGAGAAGTGCAGCACACTAGAATGATAACTAACCGTGCATTATTTTTCAGTTATTGCCCTTTGTTATTTTTCATACTTAATTTTGTCCGGGGTATAACTACAAAAGCCTTTGAGATATCTACATGAACCTTCAAAGGTGGATAGATCTCACTCAGGAGGTATGCAGCGCAAAAGAGTGATAACTCTACCCTTCATAATTTTTGAGTTATTGCCCTTTTTTATTTTTCATACTAAATTTTTCACCTGAGTGGAGCATATCTCTGAAAAGGTCTTTGAAATGTCAACATGAAACTTCATAGGTGGATAGATCTTTTTGAGGAGGAATGTTGTGCGCAAGAATGACAACTCTATCCTTTATAATATTTTTTGTTATTTTTCATACTTTTTGTCCAGAGCTTATCTCAAAAAGTGTTAGAGGTAACAACTTGAAACTTCATAGGTGGATAGATCTTATTGGGGGGCAGTGCAGCACACTAAAATAATAACCTACCGTGCATTGTTTTTTCAGTGATTGCACTTTGTTATTTTTCATACTTTATTTTTGTCCAGGGTATAACTACAAAAGCATTTGAGATATCAACATGAAACTTCATAGGTGGAAAGATCTTACTCAGGAGGTATGCAGTGCAAAAGAGTGATAACTCTACAATTCATAATTTTTGAGTTATTGCCCTTTGTTATTTTCCATACTAAATTTTTCACCTGAGTGGAGCATATCTCAAAAAAAGTCTTTGAAATGTCATCATGAAACTTCATAGGTGGATAGATCTTAATGGGGAGGAATGTTGTGCACAAGAATGATACCCTTTATATTTTGTTAGTTATTGCCATTTGTTATTTTTCATACTTTTTGTCCGGAGCTTATCTCAAAAAGGTGTTAGAGGTATCAACTTGAAACTTCATAGGTGGATAGATCTCATTGAGGAGGAGTGCCGCACACAAGACATTTAACCTACCGTGCATTATTTTTCAGTTATTGCCCTTTGTTATTTTTCATACTTATTTTTGTCCAAAGCATAACTACAAAAGCCTTTGAGATATCAACATGAACCTTCATAGGTGGATAAATCTCACTCAAGAGGTATGCAGTACACAAGAATGATAATTATTCTGCTCTGCTACATAAACATGGCTCTTGTAACAAGTTACATTATGATATTTAAAAACCTTCTGAACAAGTCACCATGTCAATTCAACACAATGCTATTTGGAGATACCTTATCAATATATTTTACTGTTTTTGTTGTTGTTTTATTTGTGTGTGGGGGGTTGTTTTTGTTTTGTTTTTCGCCGTGACAATCATATTGCTGCATTTCCCAGCAATTTTTTACTTGTTTAACTGATTTATTGAGTCATTGATTTCTAATGTCGTACAGTTTTCAATATATATTCGGAATACAATTTCAGCTGTTAGATTGTTTGCATATAAACATCTTGGACTGACATTACATTCAGCGCAAGACCGACATCAACCTCTCTCAAAGTAGCAATATTAATGTATCTTTGCGTGAATGCCCTTACTCATAAGGGTATATATCTGATTGAATATCAAAAAGTCATGTCAACGGCCTAATTCCATCGAAAACATACGTCTTGAATACGATTGATTTGTCGTAAGCCCAAAGCATGATCTTGTTAACACAAGACTGCGGCTGCTGTTGTACCTCTGTGTACAACCCTCCTGATCCGGCATATTAAACGAGATACACTTTTCAAAAGCAGACCCTTCTGTACTGCAAGCTTTAAGATTATGTACACAATACTCTAGGTGTGGTTGACTCCTAAGTAATCAAACCGCAGCCGGAATATTTGCTGCGTTGTCGTTAACAAATGGATTTTGTGGTATTTTTATTTGCAATAGCTTTTCTGCCACATTTTATGCAGTAACTGAATGTTACTGAATTACATTGCTCTTTTTATGAAGAACATGACTTTTAATTTCCAAGTCATTAGTTAAATTGCATGATTTGATTGTGATGTAGGACTCTTTAGCCCGGCTTGTCCAGCACTCAGTCAAAGCTACGGTGTCTGATGTCGACAAACTCGACGCCCTCAGTTTTAAGTCCGGTATCAAAGTATGTGAAAATCTGTCTTTGAAGGGATAACATAATACGGATCTGAGGTGTTAATGAGCTCACGAAACCCTTCATTTCTCACACCGCTAACAAACCACAGATCTTTTACCATACAATTTTGCTATTTTTGTTGCAATTATCCTTAATTTTTTGGAATTTTGTTTATTTTGTTGCATTTTATGAAAAGATTTCAATGATTGTTGGTGGTTGACTCCCGGACTCATTCACAGAAATGGCAATGATATTTTTTGTCATTTTGTGTCATTTTGTGATGCCATTTTAAGTGCATCGTGAATTTGCTTTGAAATAACCACGTTAGATTGCAACACCGCATCGGTCGTAAAACGCCGTATTTTCAATACTTTCTTTGGACTTTATTTTCCTTTAAACGAAGATAACTGCCACACAGCACTCTTTTCCTTCTTCTTTTATATCAGACTGTTATCTTATTCGTCTACTATATTCAATCACCGGAACGCTTAGATCCGTTTATTCAAGCAATTGCATTCCCAGGCACTGTGTAATGTTTGTACCATAACACTGTAATGTTTGTACCATAACACATATTAATTACTGTGTACTATAATTGATTGTATATCGGGCATTTTCACATAATTAATTTATCAAGAAACAAATTATGGAAGACTTCCTTAGAATATAAAAACGATAAAACTGAGTGTGACCGCAGCAATATGCCGGTATACCAGTAATAAGTTTCAGCCCTACGGCGAAAACTGTCCCAAACAGTTACTAAAGAAACTTACCTTTGTGTTTCATTCACGGGTACGCATATTAATACCTTGTAATGTAATAAAAGGAATAGATATTAATATAGCCGTGTAAATCTTCATTTACCGTCACCTTTGGCAAAACATGCAAGATTGTTTTAGAAGAGTGGGTGTATGTCTTTTAACAAATTGATAAAAAAGTAAAGGATAAAAGGACTCTCAAACAATAAGTTCTCGAATATTCTTTAATTACTTAACTCTACGGAATAACCTATCTAATGCTATAGTTACCTGCCTAATCATAATTTCATTTTTCATTGAAAATGATCCATGGTATCATAAGTTTGACTTATGTGAAGCATGTAAAGTTCCATCCTTGGTTGCAATTTAATAGTCTAATAATTTCTCCGGAAATGGCATTAAAAAATTATTAAAGATACAAATGTGTTGCTTTATTCATTTAGCCACCTCAATGAAATCAATATATACAAACCAACAGCTGAAATTAATAAGCGATTGTATGGTGGCTGATTTGTGCCATTCGTGTTTTCGTCCGCGAACCCCCCAGCGAAAGTCGAGATTCAAGTTAAACCCGGCGAGGGGGGGAGCTTTGTTTTGCCGCGCCCCGCTTTTTACCTGTTAATTTCGACATTGCTTCCCGGGGGGGCAACGCTTATTAGCGGGGGGGGGGGTGCGCATCGAAGTTTTAATTATTATCCTCCGTTTATTTCATAAATCTTGGTCCGCGACCCCGCAGGCCGAAGTTTAGCGTATTATACTTCGCCCTGCGTCCTTGCTTATTTGTTCCACGCCCAAGGTATTTTAACTTGTTGATTTTCAACTTTTCGCTTGGCGGGGTAGCCGGGCGAAAACACGTGCGCAAATCAGCCACCATTAGATAGAAATACCGCACTTGCCATAGTTTAAGAAGCTTTTAGTGTCGCCTTAAAAACGGCGACAAATAGGGGTTACTTTTGTCGGTGTCGTTGTCGGTGGTGTCGGCGTCCCCTGTAGCTCGTCCGGAGCATAAGTCAGTCATTTTAAGTCGGATTGATTACAAACTTGGTAGGCATGCTTCTTATAATTACCCGAAGTGCAGTGCACAAGAACCGATACTCTGCACTTCTTAATTTTTGAGTTATTGCCCTTTGTTAATTTTCATAATTTTTTTTGTCCGGGCCATTTCTCCAAATGTATAAAAGCTATGGACTTGAAACTTCATAGGATGATAGATCTCATTACGAAAAAGTGCATTGCACAAGAACCTGTACTCTTAATTTCTTATCTTTTTAGTTATTGCCCTTTGTTAATTTTCATACTTTATTTTTGTCCAGGCCATTCCTACTAAAGTATAAAAGGTATGGACATGAAACTTCAAAGGATGATAGATCTTATTGATAAGAAGTACAATGCACAGAAACTGCTGCTCTGCACTTCTTATTTTTTTAGTTATTGCCCTTTGTTAATTTTCATATTTCATTTTTGTCCTGGCCATTTCTCCTAAACTATATTGTTCACAAGGCGACACATCCGACTCGCGGAGTTCTGTTTTAATTAAATTATGAAAATGAATTATGATACTATTTTTAAACTGAAATCCACATGTTAAATCGGAGTAATATGACCAGGCGGTTGTACCGTTTATATTGATTTTCAGTTTGAATTGGTTTTGTATTGGTAAACAATTTCAGTATTGAATGATAGTGAATATTACAATTGTTAGAATTTGTGGGAATAAATATATAATAAATTTGAGAATGAATAGAAAAGGAAGTAGTTAAGTGTGAAATGGCGTAAGTGTATATAAAGGCTTAAAACGTCTGTACAAACCTGTCATGTTGGATCGTTTCAAAATTAGTCTATATTAATTTTTGAACGCGTTATATTACGTAATTTGTGTATTTGTTGTAAACAAATCTTTAAAAAATATTTCATACATATAGCGTCAAAACCTTAGATAAATCATCAGTGAAATTATCATATGTTTTACTATTTGAAAAAATAACACTGGATATTAAGTAAAAATATTGTGTTATTTTTAATTTTTATTTGTTCTAATGTTCTTTAGTAGGAATAACTAAGACATTTGAAACATAGAATCGAGTAATAAGAAACAGTGTTCCGATAAAAGAAGGACAAGTTGGATTTAAGCCATGATAAAGCCAGTGTATTTACATGCAACATTATTAATTCTAGTGCCTTTCCTTTCTATTGTTTTTTCTACCAGTAAGTATGCAATACATTTTGGTTATCTCTAAATATTATGCCTTTAGAAAAGAATATTTACTTATTAAGAAAAGTCGAACATTAGGTTTATAACGTTTAAAAATGGGTTTAGAGCATCTTAGATGCTTGTTACCTGAATGAAATTGCGTCAAATTTAAAATAATACATCATAAAAGGCAGTTAAATGTAAACAAAACAGTATTTTGACAGTATTTTGACATCCATACAAAATATTAAATCACAATAAATCCAATTATTGCCAAAGAGCACATTGGTAAATGAGTACATTGTAAGAATTGTAAAGAAATACAAAAAAGAAGATTTTGATATTTAAAAGTGAAAGCAATATGGACCTTTAATTTTATAAATTTTGACAAAAAAGTTACAAACAATGAACAGATGAACTAATATATGTAATATTCATGTTATATTTTGTGTTCTTATGAATAACTTACACCCAAAAGTACCAATATGAAAATATTTGAGTGATTTATACACATTTTATTATGTTGGTAGTTTTTCATGTTTCACTGCTATACCTGGTATGTCGGACCGTATATGTCACGGAAAGTATATGGTACACATGTGGGACATATTCGGCCGAATTAATCACATCTGTCTTAATGTGCCAAATACATTTTTGCGATTTGGTAGTAAATGCCTGACCGTATATGTCCCACATTTAACATTATTACCCCTCACTTTTTTCGTAATGCTAAATTCCCATAGGCCTCTGGGAGTTATTCTTACTGTTAATGCAAGTGTACCACGTGACTACGAATTTTGTACTGTTACATAGGTAACAGCATTTTTAACAGTATAAAATCTGGTCACGTGGTCTATTTTCTAAATAAAATGAAAAAAAATGGCCGCCATTTTTTCTCGATTCATTCTTATTTTCGACGATAGGGCATCGCCGAAATTACTATTACTCTGATAAAATTTAGTTCTTTGCACCCTAGAGTCCCTTTCGCGTATTAAATATATTTTTGTTGAATAGTCAACAGGAAACATCCGTTTTCAACGGAAGTAATTGCAATGTAAATAATTTTGTGTCAAACTGGAACATGCAGACAATTACAGCATGCAACAAAGGATAATTTAACAATTTTAACCAGTGAAACGTTACAGAAAGAGTTGGTGGACAATAATCTATAGGATATCATCGTTATTTTCTAAATGCACTTTGTCAAAAACCATGCGAAGAATATTCTGGATGCAGAAGGATCAGATTTCACAGATCATAACCTTGTAAATGGGTTAGTGTTTTGTTTTCTGAATAAAACACAGCTTATTTTATGTTTATGACTGGTAGATATCATCACTTGCCTAAAGAATAAAAGAAAAACAGATTCTCAAGTAGGCCTACAGTGCACTTAAAACTCGCAAGGTAAGGACAGTTTAGTTATTGCTTCTCTTTGCTTATTTTTGTTACAGTTAGATTTAGTTGCCAAATTCAGATCATCACAGCATTTGTTCGGGGTAATAAAATAAATAACACATGGGTTTGTGGGTAACAGGAAAAATATCATCCCTCGTATAAATACTGTTACACTCGGCTACGCCTCGGGTAACAGTATTTCCTCGGGATGATATTTTTACTGTTACCCACAAACCCATGTGTTATTTATATACTGTAAACTAACATTATGATCGTCGGTTTAACCTACATTCATCATCGCTCTTAATACATTATCATCAAAACAACATCATCATCATACATTATAACCGTAAATTAGCAATATATTTGTTTAATTCCATGCCGATTTACTTATTATTTTACCAGTAATATGACTACTGTGACACAGACACTGTCTTTGTCGTAAATATGGGCTAAATATTTTGGACATCTATATTCATTGATTTGAAGATAAAATATCGACTTTTTATGCCCCCACTCTGAAGGGGAGGGGGGTCAAACATTTTACTTGTCCGTGCGCCTGTGCAGTATTTGAGCTAAGGTAATGAAACTTTAAGTGAATATTAGTCAGCATATTAAGTTGTATACATTGGGTTTCGCTTGTCGATATTCTGCATTTATGCTAA